AGCAAGGACATCTTAACATACCCGTTTTCGCTTCCGGTTGTCGTTGAACTAACGCCATGAATTCGCCTAAACCTCTTTGGTACTCTTCCGTTAGCAATCTCGTGTTAGGATCCAAATGAGGTCGATCGATCCAAGAACGAAAATAATTAGAAGAAGACATGTTTTTTTCAATCAAATTCGTGTGTAAAATAGTATGTGAAAGGATGAAGATATGGAGTGAATGAAGAGGATGAGAGTTCTTGTATTTATAGATGAAATCTGCCGATAATTCTGAGGAAATTCCGACGGAAACGGCTAGTTCCTCGGAATTTCCTCGGAATTTTTAAAATCCCCCAACGGCTATAATAAATCCTCGGATTTTCGTCAATTTTTTCCGAGGAAACGGATTTCCTTGGAATTCCGTCGGGATATTCCGTGGAAATTCCGACGAAATCCGAAATTTGGGTTTACTCAGAATTTCCCCGGAATTTCCTCGGAATTTTGTCAGTTTTTTCCGAGGAAACGGGTTTCCTCGGAATTCCATCGGTATATTCCGAGGAAATTCCGAGGAAACCTTAAATTTGTGTTTCCTCGGAATGGCCGTCAGAATTGCGGTGTTTTCTTATAGTGTAAGGTAATTCCTTTAAAGTTGATATGGCCTGGTACAATCTATTTGTTTACTTTAAACTCTGAAATAATTCAATTTTGGTATCACTAATATATCATCGTGTATGCTTAATCTTACGAAAAATGCATAAAAACTTATTAAATTGGTAAAAATTTAAACTTTAAACCTTTTGAGACCCAACTGCTAACATTTAAAACAATGAAACTTGTATCAACAACATATTAAACATCGAAACTAACTTACTTGTTGTATACGTCAAAATTGTGACCGGTTACTGTTCATTAGTAGATAAAAACTGTTGATATGACAGTTTATTTAAAGAAATATTTTAATTAATAAAAATAAATAAAATTAGATAAAAAAATCAATATAAATTCTAAAATTGATATAAATTCAGGAAAAAATAAAGAAAATAAATGAAATTCAGAAATTTTAAAATTAAAAATAAATTTATAAATTCAAAAGTTTATAATAAAAATAAAAAATAAATAGTAAAAATTGATTAAATTAAAAAATAGTAAAAATAATAATAATAAAGAATTATAAATTAATTTATTTTTTAAAATGATAGAAATGGAAAATAAGATATTTATAAAAATATGGAAAACAAATAAAAATTCAAAAATCAAAAAAAAAAATTAAAAAAATTGAAAATGAAAAGTAACCCAAACCTCTTTGGTCCGAGTTCGGATCCTTAAGATCCTATAGATTTGGACTCAACAAGGCACTTGAAAATGTAAACTTTTGCCAACTTCATGGTTCTCTTTTTTCCAGATGTTTTTCTTAATTTTTAATCAATTTGTATAAAACATTTCTTATTTTTATGAATTTTTTTTAAAAAAATATTGATCTTTATTAATTTTAATTTTCAGTATTTTAATTTTTTGTAATTTTTTGATTTTCCTAATTTTAGTAAACTTTCAAAGTTTTTATCAATTTTTATAAAATTATTTTATTATTTGTTTTGACTGTTTGAGTTTTATTTATTTTTTTAATTTTTTTCCTGAATTTCTATCATTTTTGTTTAGAATTTATATTGAATTTTTATCTAATTTTATTTGTTTTTATTAATTAAAATAATTCTTTTTTTTTTTAAATAGTAAATCACCATGGCATCGTTTTTTACATGCTAATGAATAGTAACAGGTAACAATTTTGACATGTGCAATAAGAAAATCAGTTTTAATGTTTAATTTTGACATGTGATATCAGACTGTGGTGGCGACTGGTGTGTACTGTATCTGTATGATGACATTTTGGTGACGAGGCGAAGCATCTCCATGAATCGAATTTTATGGGTAAATTTGTTGATTCGCATGTTGTTTACACAACCAAAGGTTTCGACATTGCAATTGAAATTGTGTTTTGGGCTTAGAATCTAAAGGAAACCTTTGTCTTAATGCCCGGTTTAACATTTTCATGGAATTATGGACAAAAAAAATTACCTTCAATATTTATATTGATTTAATTTTTTTTACTAAATTGTTTCTTAACATAAACTTATGACTACTAATTAAAGAAAAATCATACGTGTAATACAATTCGACCATTTTTAATCTGTTTTTTTTATATAAATATATATGGGGGTCGGGATGGCCGCACCATTTATTTCTACTAAGCCGGCTCTGGTTAAAACTATAGTGGTTGCATCATTACATTGAAAGAGTTACACATAAAGAAGAACATGGAAACCAGCACTCGGGTTACACATAAGCACTCTGGTTTTCTTGTAAGTGGAAAATGTTAAGATAAGACTAGCTTCTTTGACTTGACTTGATTTCGAGATTAGTAACAGAACCGAGGACAGGATCACGTCTGAGTAGTCGATTGCTGTTTGCTGCTGTCAGTATCATCAAACCGAGGAAAATCAAAACCGAGATAGATGAGAAGATAAGCATCAGTCCAGTAGCGACCTGTTCTTTCACCTCCTGTGCATACTGAACTGAGTTTAAAGCAAGAAATGTGATTGGAAACGAGTAAGCCCACCATGCAACATTGAATCTTTTCATTGACTTCTTGAAAAGATTTGGCCTACAAACCTGAAAATGTTAATAAAAAAGGTAAAATGTCTTATGTCATACGATGCCATTCTTTTTCTTGGTGTATAGTAAACTTACTAGGGACATGAAGTTAAAGAGCGAAAGAAAGAATAACATCTTCGCTAGAGGATCAAAGGTTCCACAAACAGAGTTCCAAGCTAAACTTCCCATGGCTGGTGCAGCAAAGAACAAGAAGAAAACTGGCCTCAGCTTTGTTGGGAAGTTGTTACCGCCCGGTAGGCGTTGATAAAGTGTGACAAAGATAACCAAATAGTGAACCATCCCTAGCGAGAACAAGCATAGAGCACACTCTCTCCAACCCATCTCGGCTGCTCCTCTTGCTGCCACTAGGTTTGCGATTACTGATACTTGGCTCGCCGGGTTAGCCATCATCGACAAAAATCTTTTCTCTGTGGTGAGCCACTGGCCATAAAGCTTTGTGTCGAGAGCCAACACCGGAGCCACAAACACCGAGAATAATGTCTTATACAAGATGCCTTGTGGTTCCATCATCGGAGCAGATTGAAGCAAGATAAGCCATGAGATGGATGGAGCGTAAAGATAGTTCACTCCAATATAATGCGAGAACTCTTCCTTCACCATGTCAAAGAAGAAAAAACACTTCAACGCATACAAAAGACAGAGTAACACTTGTGTTGCAAGTGCTAGGTACCACAAGAGATGGAACGCCATAGACGGGAAATTGCTATGCAAATGAGACATGCTCTGTGAATCAGGTGCAGTCATTATCTTCCATAGCAGAGCTTGGCTGCAGAGAGAGAGGCTTATTCTGAAATATCCCGCATGGAGACTACTCAAAACAGACATCAGAACAATGGGTTTGGCATGAACTAGGTCAGTGTTTCTTTCTTTACTGTTTGATATTGAGCCATCAATTTCGATATGAACTTCCAAGTTTTCCATATCGGTATATGATGGAACAGAGGTAATGGATTGTGTTGTTATAACATTATCATAGAGTTCATGTTATATAGGCAGAGAAGCTAATGGAGATTAATTAGTACAAAACACGTGTGGAGTTAGTTAGTGTTGGACAAGGATGTGTACTTAAATAGATAATGGAATCTCATAAGGATAGCAACTCTTATAATAACTTTTGATGAGTTAAGTAACTTGTATAGTTACATCCCAACATTTCTTGTTTAAGCTTCACGAATATAACATCCCTGTTGATCACATTTACAGATTAATCTTATATATATTTTCATGCTTTACCTAACTGGTACAATTATAATTGAACAGGATTATTAGGTTTTCTTATCACAGGATGTTACCACTAGGTAGCTGTAAAGAGAGACTGATGCCAGCGACCCACTAATTCTAAAAATCCAATCTAACTTTGTATAAGATGTACTGAAATGCAAATAAAAAATTATATTGTTGTAAAAATGAAAATGTTTTGAGTTCTTCGGAGTCAGATGTAGTCACCTATCGATCAATGTCAAGAGCCAATGCCTAAGCAAGGTATCACTACAAGAAAACATGCGATTTGCAAGTCACATACGTGTTGTGAACCATTGCAGCATGTGTTAAAAACGCGTCTAGACTAAACCTAGGCTTAAGGGGGAGGTCAGACTGAGCATCCATCACCTAGCATAAATGAGGTTAGGCGATTTCACAAAAGCGCTAGCTCAGCAAAGCCTCAGACCTAATAATAAATTATAATAAACTTAATCACAAGTCATAAAACTCTTTGCGTATTGCCTCTGCATCTTTTTTTTTTTTGAAAATTAAAAAGTATTAAGTGTGCATGGCTGCTAGGATTCGAGCCCAAGTCTCCATGGCCACAACGTGGAATTCTTCCTACTAAACTACAGCCACTTTGTAGTTTTGTCTCTCCATCTTCTCATGTCAAGGCTACTATTTCTTAATTTCTGTTAGTTTTGTTGGTTCTAACATGATTGTAATTACAAAAGGTGCTAACATGGTTTAGGATCAGCAAAAAAACAAGGAAATTTATGTTTTCTTGTGTAGTTCCAGCTCAGGTACCAAATGCGACCCTAAGCAGTTGCCTAAGCTTGGAGTGTGTTTCCAGCACGTCCTCGCCTAGCCTCACTATCAGTCATTTTTAATAAAATTTGGTGTACAAAACAAAATTTATAATAGTTTAAAATATGCATGTACGGAAACCGGTCATAAAAGTGCCAATTTTATTATAATCTACCATTAGTATTGTATATAAAAGTGCATTCTTAGCTTTCGCTTTATTTAAATCAACCATTCGTATTGTATATAAATGTCTATACTATCAAGAATGTGAGTTCTTCACATCATATTTCTGAATGCAAGAATATTTTAATAAGGCTACAAATGTGGCAGAGTTTTTAGCTGAACTTGGGAAAGTTTTAGCTGAACTTCATTAAAATTCAAAGAAATTGTAATTAATCGGCTTTGCAAAGTTGAAATAATCTAAAACACGTATGTGACAGCCAAACTGATTTTAGCACAAGTGTTGGTGTTGATCGATCAACCGTTGAAAGAATAATTTACGTAAATGGTATTAGTAAATGCTGATTCTAGGCCTAAATGCCTGAACTAAGGATTTCCTTGGAAATACAAAAAAAAAAGTTAAAAATCTGAGTTTGATCATTATCAAATATATTTTTTGGTGAACACATTATCAAAAACTTATTTTTGGGTTCACCCCCTAAGATTCACCATCCAATAGAATTACGTCATTTTATATTTAATATTTTTTTAAAAGAAAACGAAATCTTATTAAGTTATATTATATTTTTAAAAATAAAATACATAAAAAATTAATAAAAGCGAAAATAATTATTTTAAAGAAAATATTTTCACACTAAACTCTAAAGTCTAATCTTAGGTAAATCAAAAATTTTTGAATAAATCTATAAAAATTTAGTGTTTATGATTTACCTAAGGGTTTAGCGTTTAGGATTAGAGTTTAGGGTATATGGTTTAGGATTAGAGTTTAGGGTTTAGTGTTTATGATTTACCCAAGGGTTTAGGGTTTAGAATTAGAGTTTAGGGTTTAGTGTTTATGATTTATCTAAGGGTTTAGGATTAGAGTTTAGGGTTTAGTGTTTTAGTGAAAAAATTGTTTTTAAGAGATTTTTTATAAAAATTACCAAAGGTTTATGATTTACCTAGGGATTTAGTGTTTAGGATTAGAGTTTTAGGTTTTAGTGTTAAAATATTTTTTTAAAGAATTATTTTTCTTTTTAATTAATTATTATTATTATTTATTTATTTTTGTATTTTTATTTTTAAAAACATAATATAACTTAACAAGATTTTGTTTCCTTTTTAAAAAGATATCAAATATGAAATGATGCAATTTTATTGGCTGGTAAATCTAGAGATTCAATCTAGTGGTGAACCCAAAAATAGCTCATTATCAAATATATAATAAAGAAATTATAGCTCGATCAATTATATTAGATGCCTTATGTTTCTTTTTGTCAGCAACTCACTACGACATTAAGGTGTGGGGTTTGTGTAGACATTTAATATTAGCTGTTTCAGGCTAAGTACACCATAGTGCAAAAGTAAATAGATAAATATATTTACATATCGGTGATTCAATAGTAAAAAATAAATGGTGGGAGATATTTTGATAAATGAGTCATGAAGCACATATGATGTGTCTCTCACACAAGTAACTGTTAATAACAATGAATAAATAGTCGAACGATTTTCGAATAAATGCAAAAAAATCTACGGCCAATAACATAAATAGGAAATTTTAAAACTCTTAACCATTGCAACTTTTCGTTTTCTATATTTTTTTTTTCTAAAAAAAATGGAATAATAAAAGAAGAGGTCATGAGATTCAATGCTTTGATTGCAAGTTAGTGGCTTTGATCCAGTTACTTTATACGGAGTAACACCCGTTAAAATAAACGAATCATATCAAAAATAAAGAAGAGGTAATGATGTTGAAAAAGAGGTGATTATAAAGATGAGACATAGTTAGAAATATGCCATTTCCATGATAAAAACACCCCCACCCCAAAGCTTCAAACATTACATGTTTATAGCAAAGCATCTCATGTGGAACCCATGGTTTAGTGGTCAAGAATTTAGAGATTTTAAAGCCAGTTTCAAAAAAAAAAAAAAAAAAGAATTTACAGATTTTTAATCTACGTCAGTGTTAGATTTTCCTATGAATTATCATAAAGTTTTAGATGATTTGCCAAAAATGATTTAAGAATTGATTTGAAAAATATAAGAATAAAATACAAAAGTAACACAAATGGTTAATGAAATTACTAATACTCAATAATTTTTTTATAAATTATTTTACGATTTTATCTTTCCGAAATCTATTGTTAATAGTAGATTTCTTATGCAGTGTATTAAGCCAACTTCTTATGCAGTCTACGAGATAGTCTTTCATGTAGTTTACTTTGTAACTTGATTTAACAATTATATTATAAATATGTAATTTTTTTTTTTAATTATCATATATCATCAGTAGATAAATAAGTATGAAGTATATAAATAAAAATTGAATACAACTGAATGATTTTGAAGAATATAGATTGGTTTGATTACAATGATTGTACAATATTATGGTTTATTAATATTAGGCTAAAGATGTTTGTGCTTTCAAGGTTAGATTTAATATTTATATTTTTTATTTTATTAACTTAATTTTACATATAAATATTGAGTTATGTATATAACAAGTTTTCAGTAAATTAGGCTTAAAGATGTTTGTGTGTTACTTAGATCTGGGTTTTTAGCTTTTAGCTTCTAGAAGTTGGATTTTGGTTTTTAGTTTTTGTTTTTGAAAAACATGAATGGTAATTTTAGATTCTTTTATTTTATTTTATTTTCTTTTCTTTTTAATTTTGAAATTTCTGTATATTTTTGGTTTTCTAA